TAGCACTCTCGGCAACTCTTCGGGCCACTTGCCATTGGCTGCTTCCAATCTCTTTTTGAGGTTTTGAATAATTATCGCATCGGTTGTTTTCTCATGTCCATTTGCGCTCGGATGGTATGGTGAAAATATGATTCTTTTAATTTTCATGTCTTAAAGAAGTTTTGTGATCTTGGAGCCTATGAATTGTGGTCCGTTGTTGCAAGAAATCTCCTTCGATATTCTGAATTGGCAAATTATGTTTTTCCATATGAAATCGGCCACTTTATGCTCACCGATATTTTGGTAGGAACCTGCCTCAACCCATTTAGTGAAGTAATTAGTTAAAATTAAAAGAAATCTTACCTTCCCCGGACCCGGTGGCAGCGGTCCAACTATATCCATCCACAATTTTATGAATGGCCATGGGGACAATACCAAATGCAGTAGTTTTGCCGGTTGATGCGCCATCGGTGCATGGTGTTGACACTTGTCGCATTTTTGAATGCACGCCTTCGTGTCTTGTTCCATCTGAGGCCAATAGTATCCTACTCTAACTAATTTTATCACCAACGAATCTGCATTGGAATGATTCTCACATATCCATTCATGAACATCTCTCATGACGTAATTTGCCTCCGAGGATCCTAAACATCGGGCCAACGAGCCTTGGAACGATCTTCTATATAGATGCCCCCCAGAAACTGTAGCGAATTGCTTTGGTGTGGAGTGCCCGGGATGCCTTCGGGTCTTCGGGCAGCTTGTCGTGCTGAAGGTAATCAATGAACTCATTCCTCTAGTCCCAGAGTAGGTTGGTTGTATATACTTCACAATAACTATCCACATCCAGTACCAAATGCATGAGTTGTACGACAGTACCGAAATCTGATCCCTTTTATCTCTGTAGATGACCCCAAATTGGCCAATGCATCTGTTTCTATGTTTTCTTCTCTCGGGATGTGGGTGATCGACCACTCCCTGAACCGTGTGATCAAGGTTTGAACTTTAATCACATAATTTTGTTGCGTTCCTCCTTCGTGTCAAAGATCCTATAAACTTGGTCTACTACCAGTTGCGAATCACAATTGATTTCTATGACCTCAGAGCTAAGTCCTCAGGCCAATTCGAGCCTTGCAATCAATGCCTCATACTCGACTTCATTGTTAGTCAAATAAATAGTTTTTATGGTCTGCCTCATAGTTTCTCCCGAGGGAGTGATTAGAACCACTCCGAGCCTGGACCCTTTCACATAGGAAGCTCCGTCTGTGAATATGGCCCAGACTCCCTCTGTCATTTCCGACACCATCACCGCTTCTTTTGCGACCAAAGGCAGTAACTCGAGACTGAAATCGCTCACGAAGTCAGCCAAAACATGAGATTTGATCGCAGTCATGAGCTTATACTCAATATCAAATTCACTAATTTCAACTACTCATTTGGACAACCAACATGACAACTCAGGTTTGTGAAGGACATTCCGCAGGGGAAAAGTTATCACCATGGCTATCGGGTGGCACTGAAAATAAGGCCTAAGCTTTCGAGAGGCGACTACGAGAGCTAAGGCCAGTTTTTCAAGGTGCGGATAACGAGTTTCCATTTCTGACAAAATTTTGCTAACATAATAGACATGATATTGTGTACCTTCTTCCTCCTGGACTAGAACGACACTTACCCCCTACCTCCGAGATCGCTAAGTATATCAGCAATTATTCACCTTCCTCCGATTTTGATAGTAGAGGAGGGCTTGATATATAATGTTTCAGGTCTTTTAAGTCATGTTGGCATTCAGGAGTCCATTCAAAGTTGTTCTTCTTATTCAAAAAGTGAGAGGAAGTGATGACATTCTTTTCGAAGACCGAGAAATGAACCTGCTAAGAGCGACCAATCTTTCGGTTAGCCTTTGGACTTCTTTCACGCTTGTTAGCTAGTCTGAGATGTCCTCGGTGGCTTTGATCTTATCGGGATTGACATCGATCCCTCTTTGTGACACCAGGAAACCCAAGAATATACAGGAGCTAACTCTGAATGCGCATTTTTCGGGGTTGAGCTTCATGTTGTGTTTCCTTAGGATATCGAAGGTTTCCTAGATGTATTTTAAATGGTCACCTGCATTCAAAAACTTGATGAACATATCATGTATATATAATTCCATTATTTTACCTATTTGTTTTTCGAACATCTTGTTCACGAGCCTCTGATAAGTGGCTCCGGTGTTTTTAAGCCCGAAGGGCATCACATTATAACAATATGTTCCAAAGTTCGTTATGAATGAAGTTTTTTCCTGGTCCTACAGGTTCATCTTAATTTGATTGTACCTGGAATAAGCATCAAGGAAACTCATTAACTTATGCCCGCCATGGCGCCAATCATTTGATTGATGTTCAGCAGTGGAAACGAGTCTTTCGGGCACACCTTATTCAAGTCCTTATAATCTACGCACATTCGAAATTTATTACTACATATTCTTTTGGAACTACAACTACATTAGCTAGCCAGGATACTTTATCTCCTGGATTGAACCGATGTCAAGTAACTAAGTTACCTCTTCTTTAACAAACATGTTACTAATCTCGGCAATTGGGCACTTCTTCTGCCTTACCGGTGAGATACTCGGGTCTAGGCTTAGATTGTGTGCAACCATCTCTAGTGGGATACCTGTCATATCTGTGTGCGACCATGCGAAACAATCAATATTAGTTTTAAGAAAATCAATAAATCTTGACCTGAGCTCGGGGTTGAGTCCTGTTCTTAAGTGAAATTTTCTATCCACGAATTTTTAGAACAAAGCCACTTGTTCGAGCTCTTCTACCGTGGACTTGGTCACCTCTGTTTCTTTTGGTATCTGAAAATATCTTGGTACCTAGTAGGATTCCGACGACTCCTCCCCTTTGTCACATTCTCTTGGTTCAGGAGCAGGCGTCGGTTCATGTAATTGCTATGTTGAGTTCCTTCCCTTTACTACTAAAAACTGATACCGCACTCATTTCCCTTGTTGTCGGTTGATCTCCTCTTATTTGTTTGATTCCCTCTGGAGTTGGGAATTTAAGCAGTTAGTGATATATTCATGGTACGACTTTCATATCATGTAGCTATGGTCTACCGATAATTATGTTGTAGCCCATGTCGTTGTCTACCACTTCAAATAAGGTAGTCTTTGAGACCCCTTCGACAACCATGGGTAGAAAGATCTCCCCGGGGTTGTCACACTCGCTAAGTTGAACCCGACGAGGAGCTTTGTTGCCGGAATTTGCTTCCGATAAGTTTGGCTTGTTCCAACACCCTACATTGAATTATGTTGGCTAATTTCCTAGGTCAACCAAAACACGTTTAATCTTGAAATCTAAAACGTTAAGAGAAATTACCAGGGAATCGTTGTGTGGCAGAAGAATTCCATCGGCGTCTTCTTCCGTAAAGGTGATGTCGTCTTCAGCTACTTTCCGGAGTCACTTGCTATAAGTCGCTGATACCTTTGTCTTCTTGGCTACAAAAAAAGATACACCGTTGATCTCTTTCCCCCTGAAAATCACGTTGATAGTTAGTCGACGAGGGTCGTTCCCTATCTTTGAGGGTTCTGCGTTGTCTCGGTTGCGGCCGTAATTGTTCTTGGCCCGCTCGCTTAAGGATTCTCTAAGATAGTCGTTCTTTAACAATGTTTCCACCTCCTCGTGCAAATGTTGACAGTCCCCAGTTCGATGGTTATGAGTCCCATGATATTCACACCATAAATTAGGATCCCTCTAGGAGAAATCAGATCTCATCGGCCTCAGGAACCTTGCTTCCTTGATGTTTCTCATTGTCGATACCAGCTCCACTATATTAACATTGAAATTATACTCTGATAGTATGTGATAAGTGGAATACCAGGAAATATTTGTTATTTCGGTCGCAACGACATGTTGTCCTGCAATAACTTGTTATTTCGGCCGCGATCAACTCTTCTATCGGGGGCGAACATATCCACTGATCAACCCTTTGCTGCAGCGTCCTACAAACCTCTCATATGGCAAGAATCGGCCCCTAAAAGATCGCCGATCTGCATTAAAATCATCTTTTGATTTATCCATGTTCTTTTCTCGATCCCGGCCCTTAGTTGATACCGGGAACCCGAGCTGATCATCTTCTATCCTTATCTATGATTCATAATGGTTATGGACATCTGCCCATGTAGTTTCTTGGAACTCAAGAAGGCTTTCTTTCAACTTCTTGGAGGCGTCAGAGCTCCTCGAATTCAACCCCTTAGTAAATGCCTCAGCTTCCCATTCATGTGGAACGACCGATAACATCATCCTTTCTTTCTAGAACCTGATCACAAACTCACACAACAATTTAGACTTTTCTTGCGAAATTCTGAATATGTGGCCTTTGATGAAAGAATCTATAAGCATCTCAAAAGAATCGATTGAGTGTTCAGGTAGACGTGAATACCATGTCAAGGCCCCATTCGTGAGGGTTTCCCCGGATTTATTTAGCAAGACCGACTCGATATTATGTTGGGCCAAGTCATTTCCTTTCACCGTCGTTGTATAAGTTGTGATGTGCTCCTGAGGGACCAAAGTTCCATCATACTTCGGTATATCCGGCATTTTAAACTGTTTTGGAATCAATTCTAGTGCTATGGGTTTGAACGGCAATTGGGTGTACTTCTTCGAGTCTGGGCCCTTCAACACTGGTGGTGCACTCGGAATTTGTTCCATTTGAGCGTGGAACTCTTTCACATTCAGATCCATCCGCTAGTTCATTTTCCTCATGAATCTCATGAGTTTGGTTTTGAAGGGATCATCGTCGTTGTCGTTACCGGATCCGTTGTCGATGCCCCCCAGCTCCATCAAAGCCGACTTCACCCCTTGGGGTTTTGTTATCAACTCTTTAAGATATTTGATTTGCGGGAGCATTGGGAGGAACATAGCATATTCCATTCGCATTGTTGGAAGCACATGACAATGCCTGTTTTAGTTCCGTCATGGCCTAGTCTTGCCTTGAGAGATGGACCATGATAGTCTTTTGTTGTTCTCTCAAGATCCTTACTATTTTCGCAACATGCTCGTCCTCGGCATCATCAGGAGCTGTTTCCCACACATGTCAGGGATATTTCCCGCCATGGACCGGAGTTGCTTCTCTCCCTCGTTGCAGGTGTCACTAATTGAATCCTCGTGTTGAGGCACATTTTCGTGTGCATCAACATTGTGTGTGATGGTGACATCGTTAACTGCCATTTTTTTCGATTTTTTTCTATGAAACAAAGAATCAAACAAGTTAGTAATAAATGCAAGGATCAACTCAATTACATAATTGTTTAATCCCCACAGTGGGCGCCAAATCATTTACCCGTAAAATAGTACAATTGAATTTTGTTACATGGTTTATAGTTGAGCGAACTAATTTGATCCCAAAATGATAAATAAATTAAATAAAATATAAGACTTAGCGTTGAAATCGATATAAATAGCAAGTAGTCTGGTTCTGGGATCAAGGTTTCCGAAGATAGCGATAAGGACAATATTAGACAGAAAATAAAGTTATATTATTTAGCTTGAGAATAAGGTGTAGCATAATTTTTGCCGGAGATTTTCTGTCTTACAATAGTTGTTGAAGTCACTATTTATAGCTATACCTAGGGAACAAGATCCTAGGATCAAGCCCCTCTTAAATGACAATAAAGGGGGGCTATTGATGAATATGTAACGGCGGACCATGAATGCCAAAGTTCTCTGCATCGTCTGCATATTTAATACTGCAGAATATTATTCATTAAATACCATCCGATGACAAATATTCATTTGCTTCCGTTGACTGCTTTCCCATCGGGATCTACCCGATACCAACCGAAGGTGTTGTCTTCGGCTTTGGTTCCCATTCGCTTCATTTTTTGTCCGCCTCCGATTTCACGTGTCATTTAAACATTCGAGTATTTAATATAAACCAATTTCACCTTATACATCTTCCCAGTTACTAACAATATAGACACTAACTAAAAGTTTAAAACTTTCTCATCAATGGTTACATGAGTTGTTTAAGATAAGTTGTTTCAAATTTCGGAAGTTATCATTCTTTTTAGAGTATACTAAAAAGAAAATGTGTGCCACATAAAGTGAAATGAAAGAAGTATTATTTTAGAGTCTTACAAATAAAGGATCTTAACTTATGGGACTTGTGAAAAATGATGGACAAAATTATAATTGAAACTTATTGGAAGAAAAAATCAATGAATCAAAATATCATATTTTTACACTATCACGTGTTTTCAGTTAGTAGATTTACATTATATTTTCTTGATGTATTTTCCTGGATCTTGAAAATTGGTGTTCGTTTTTGGGGGAAAAAAAGAAGAAAATATTTTTTTGTTGGTGGGGGCAATTCTCAATGTTAGGGATTGATATTCTCTTTTGTTTAGTTTTGTTTTGTCTTTTTTGTGTTTTTAGATTTGTAAGAGTTTAGAAAGTCATTTTTTCCGAAGAAAATCAAAGACAATATACGCTTAACCTCCCTATCGACAAATTTCTCGTTCTAAAATAAAAAAACTTATCTATAAATCTCTTCGAAACACTCAGTAAAGTTAAAACATATAAAGATAATTAACATACTCGTAAAAATGAATCCTCTATCTCCTCTCCCCTTCCCCTCACCCGCCTTACTCAAACTTTTATTCTCTTTGATTTCACCATACGGGCCACGTCAATTCTCACTTCAGGATTCTTGTTGAAGCCATTTCAGTCTATAGACTCCATTGTGATCATTATATTTTTTCAGGTAATGATAGAGATAAACTACCTGATTATTTGTATATACTCATTTACCTAATATATTATTTATATTAGCACTGCAACTTGTAATATTATGTGTATAAATAAATATGTTATTCTAGACTTAGCAATTAAGCAGACCATCAAATGTTTATTCTCATCTTGGTATCAGAGTATCATAACTTTTTTGGCTTCTCAACTATCTTCTGCTCAAATCACAAAATCCAAATCTTCTCAATTGGGCTACCTCAATTATCCTTCTTAAAAAAAACTTTTTTAGATAATTTAAAAGATCAAATACGTTTGATTAATGGCTGAATTCCATTTCACCACCAAGTATCAACACACGAGGAATATATATTTTGAATTTAATGTGACACTATTACTTTAAGTTTGATCAATGTCACTTTATCTCATTTAGTTGTTGACACTTTTCTTAATTATGATTGTGAAACATCCAAATAACCTTGGGACGCTTTTGCTTCCCTATACCTTGACGATCAAGTTTCCTTTTCTTCGATTCGCTTTAATTCTAAGATTTAGAACTTCAATAAAGATTCTCTATCATTGGAGGCTTATTTACAATAAATTCATTTCATTTTTGCTTTTTGAGCAATTCGAAAAATCTATAACTAATAAGGATCCAATTACTTAATCATTGTAAGGCCTGATTTTCTTAAATAGTGGTGTGCTCCCTTCATTCATAGCATCGAGACTACTATAAGGTTCTAATTTCTCGGCTTTATCCACTTATGATGCATTTTACCGCACCACGACCTTTTTCTCTATTTCTATTCATCATATGGAAAAAAATTCGATCTATCTTATTTATTTCGTTTATGAATGAAACTGTCTTCTCATTACCTGAAAAACAAATTCGATCTATCTTACTTTTATATACATTTATTTTGCAGTTTTAAGAATGAAGAATTTGAACTAATGAGATTTGTGAGAAATGATGAATGAAACTGCTATTGAAGCATTAAAAGCAAAAGCAATGAGTCAAAATTCCATATTTATATACGAACACACTTTTTCCTTTAAAAGATTTACATTTTGTTTTCTTGAGGTGATTATTTTTAGATTTGGGGAATTCTTGACTTTTGTTTCATAGGCAAAAGAATGAGGAAATTTGTATGTTTTATTTTTTGGATGGGCAACTTCAACATTCGAAATACTGAAAAAATACAAAAATTCTTATAGCTTGAGATGTGTCAAAGACATTATCCTTAAGGATATTTCACCAGGATGATCTTATCATTCAAAATACAATAAGCTCTTTTAACATAAAATAAAAGTAGAGATAATGTTTAACCTAAAATTTGACTAGATTAAGCAATTGAATTTATATGCTAGGCTACAAAAAATCTGATTATATCAAAGCGATTAAATCATTTCTTGATTAAAAGTGGTATAACAGTAGTTATGATGTAAATAAAATAATAGAATGAACAAGGAAGAATAAGAGTGAGATTCTTATTGATGAATCTCTAATGAACTAAATGTGATGAATAATAATGTTGGTGATTGCTACAAAAAAACTCCATAGTGTAGGTTTGTAAAGTAGAATCCAAATGGGATACAATCGGAGGAAAATATGATATTTACAACATAACCCTAATGTAATTGCCCCTAAATGTTATGGACACTACCAATATGCTCAGTACGTTACACATGTCAATTGTAACCGTTGAGGAGTTAATGCATAATTCCATTGATTTGAGAATAATCTTATCAAGACTACGAAGACTAGTGGGGTGGTCTACTTCGAGATTGCGCTAAACGAATTTGGGACGAGTTTCTAAGATGGTTCCTTAATTTTCGCTCTAGGTGGGTCCTTCGGTACTGACTAGGTATTGCTTGTCACGTGTTAGCTTATGTATCGTCCACGAGTATCCATAATTTACCAATACAGACAACAAACTTATTCAAGAGAAATAAACTTAACATATTAATAGAAAGAAAGAATAGATTTTCTAATGCAACTTCACAAAAGGGAAGAATATGTATATAGGTGAAGAAAAATGAGAAAGTTGCAATGAATGAGTAATTGTCATAATGATCCAATAGCTGGGGATTTTAGAGCAATGACCCATTATGTGAAATAAATACATATACTAATTTTAAGAGGATGAATTTGGACATTTTATGTAAGCATGAATTTAAGTACTTCTGAATATTTTTTTAATCAACAAGAGACTCTCATCTTTTGAGATATACTATTCTCGGTTTTTCACTTTCCTATCAGGGGTATAGTCGTTTTTGTCTCATTATCTATCCTTTGTGTTTTCAAATCAGTCATAATTTAAAGGTAATCTCCCTAATACAAATCAAAAGGAATGTATCTCCAACCTCCCCTCTACTCAAATCTCTCGTCTCTATTACTCTATATCCTAATATTATATGCTCAATAAATCCCTTCAACACTCCATAATATTGGAATATGCCGAGAAAACTAACACACAAAAGAAATCCTCTACTTGTTCTTGAAATTTTGTTCTCCCCTGATTTACGGCTTACAAGCCAATGCTACTCTCACTCCAAAACTCTAGTGAAAGCTACTTCTATCTATGAACTAAAGAGTCATGAAAACCACCACCTCATAATCTGAATAATTTAAGATATCTTTAAATCGTGGCTAACTTTTAAATACACACCAAAATGTGGCTATACTATGTAAAAAAATCTCCAAAACTTCATCAGTTTTTTTTGTGTGGGTAACAATGTGAATATTACCATTAACAAACCAAATTAATACACCTATAGAGTATTTATTTCCATAACTAGTTACAATTATGCAAAACTGTACTTCAACTAAGTATTCTATATAAAAACTCTCTACTCATATGTGCTTTTTTGACGATCTAAGTACTTATATTCTCTGTATAATTTCTCTCTTTATCTGTGTTGCTACTTCTGTTGGTTGTAGTATAGCACCCTTGAACAGTTTATAATTCCGAACTCGCCAGGTTTGGTATGGCATATCTCCCCAAACAGCTGCTATAACCTCATTTTTGAGTGTTTTCCAGTGCTTCCTCTTGATACATTCCAACACATGTTTCATCTCTCCAACGGGGAGTTGAGAATTAGTCCATTGAATAAGCTAAGCTCTCAAAGTTGTGATCCAATTGCAGTCCACAAATAAATGTGTACTTGTCTCCATAACATGATGGTCACATAAGCAGCAACTGGGATTCTCTACTGGTATGTGCAATCCGAGCAATCTTTCTTTTGTCAATAGTCTACCATAGACTACTAGCCACATATGAAATATGTATCTAGGTAGAGTTACTGAGTTTCAAATAATATCTGACATTTCCATTTTGTTGTGCTCTCCTTTCAACTGCAAGTAGCTTTTTAATGATTAAATATCCTCCCCGAGCTATGAGAATGTATCTTTCCTGGTCATAGTTGATCTTTCTCCAGTACCAACTACTATCTTCAGGTACATTGTGGCTCCATATATCTGAGTCTGTTTTTATATACACATCGTGAAACCATATCACCCATAATGAGTCCTTCCTTTCTATCAATTGCCACAACAGCTTACCCACTTAAGCAATGTTCCAAGTTCTGCAATCCTTGACACTTATACTTTCTCTACTCTTAGGCAAGCAGACTTTATCCCAAAAGACCAAGGATGCTTTCTTTTGTTCCCCTATTTTACTCCATAGGTACTCTCTACACTTACTATCAACTCCTTTTAAGATGCTTTGTGGCAAGATAAAAACTGAGCCCCAAAAGTTATGTAGAGAAAACAGGACAACATTAAGTACATGCAGCCCTCCAGCATATGATAATTGTCTTACATAAGTAGTTGTTATCCGGCTTGTAATCTTGTTGATCAACTGTTGACATTCAAGCTTACTCCATTTCTTATATGACAATGGTAATCCTAAGTATCTAATAGGAAAAGTCCTCTTGGCAAATCCAATCTTATCCAACAGTTGAGCTTTAACTTGATCAGGCACATCAGCAACAAACATATGTGACTTATCCATGTTAGCAATAAGTCTTGTAGCAACACTAAAATGGTTTAAAGCCTCTAGAGCTTTGTTGACTGAGTCTTCATCCCCTTTACAAAATACCATCAGGTCATTCGCAAAGATCAGACGAGTAAGTTTTAGAGATTTACACATTGGATGATATTTGTCTGGTAGCAAACTCATGCAATTGAGGACTCTAGTTAAATATTCCATTACAAACACAAATAATAGATGAGGTACATGATCTGCTTGTCTGAGCCCTCTCTGACCATCAAAATAACCTTGGCTTTCTCCATTAATTTTGATAGTGAACTTTGGGGTGGATACACATGTCATGACCAACCTGATGAATTTCTCAGGAAATCCATACCCCCTCAAAGCTTCCTCCAAAAATTCCCAACTTACCATGTCATATGCTTTCCTGAGATCTATTTTCATAAGACATCTTGGTGAGGTTTTCCGATTGTAGTGTCTGAGGAGATCATGACATATTAGGATATTATGGATCATAGACCTTCCTTGAACAAATGTAGATTGATTATCTGTAACTATATGACTCATTGCTTCTTTGAGTCTCCTGCACAATATTTTTGAGATGCACTTGTATAACACATTACAGCAAGCTATAGGTCTATACTGACTTGCACTTTTCGGATGATCACTTTTTGGAATAAGGGCAATGTTTGTGGCATTGATCTGTCGAATCATCTTCCCATTATGAAAAAATTCAAGAACAACTTCAATGACATCTTTTCCCACAATACTCCAAGTTGCTTTATATAATCCACTTCCATATTCATCTGGCACAGGACTTTTGTTTTTGCCAATACTAAACATGGTTTCTTTGACTTCTTCCTCTGTGAACTCCTTTATAAGATGCATTTGTTGTATTGTAGACAAAGTGTTTCCCCTCTTGATGATTTCTGAATGAGCTGACACCCTAGTTATTGCCTTCTTTCCTAGCAGGTCTTGATATTTAAAAATACCCGAGCTATACTGTCTTGGTTAGTGTTTAGCCCACCTTGGTCATTCTTGATATGAATTATTGCTTGCTTCAGTTTTCCGTGTTTTATAATAGAGTGAAAGTAGCTAGTATTATCATCTCCCAATTGTAGCCAAGTGGCTTTACTCTTTTGTTGTAAATACACTTCTGCTAAGTAAGAAGATGTTTTGAATTTCAGATACTTCTCCTTTTCAATTGCTTGAAGTTCAATATCTAAAGGTCTTGTATGTAATAGTACCCGAGCCTGGTGCAAAGACTTTCTATCCTCTTTTGCCTCTGCTACTATATTACTGGAATGGTCCTTATTTAGCTTTTTTAACTTCATCTTGAGCAATTTCAGTTTCTTAACTATCTGGAACATTTTGTACCCTTTAACTTGCACCAACCATCCTTCTTCTATCAACCTTGTAAAGTGGGGATGTTGATTCAAATTATTGCAATATATGAATGATTTCACATGATTGGACCTGTCTTCAGCCATGATTACCTTAGTTGGACAGTGATCACTAATCCCTTCCAATAAGAAAATGGTCTTACTAGAGGGCAACACATCCAACCAAGCTCCATTGATAAATGTCCAGTCTATTTTAGATAAGATTCGATGCTCATACTTATCACTCAAAGTATATCTGCTCCCTTGATAGGGTAATTCAATCAACCCACCTTCCTCAATACAATTAGCAAAATTCACCACCTCTGCGGCTCTGCCCATGATATTGGATTACCACTTACTCTATCTTCAGTTGTTAGTAATGAGTTGAAATCTCTAAGTATCAACCAAGGTTTTTGAATCTCTACATTCAACCTAAGCAGGTTGTTCCATAATCCCCTCCTCTCTTCTTTTGTATTAAAGGCATACACAAAAGTCACTACAAATGAAACTTGTAGAGGAATATGCAATACCTCACATGTGATCATTTGTGTACTCATAGTCATTGGCATCACCTGGAAATAATCTGGCCTCCAGGTAACCAAAATTCTACCATTGTAATGGTATTCTAGTTTTGTTAAGTACTGCCACCCTCCAAAGAGATTTTCTGTTACTTGGCTGATTTTATTACTTTTTATTTTATTTTCTAGTAGTCCAATCAGTCCTATTCTTTCCTTATTGCAAAGGGGTTAAACCTCCTTTTGTTTATTCGGGCCACTTAAGCCCCTTACATTCCAGATGAGGATGCTATCCATGCCCTGAGTGAGGCATATGTTGGCCTCCCTCTTTCTCCATTGTCACATTTATTTGTCTATTAGTCTCAGGCCTGGAAAGTACCTGAAATATATTTTGCTTTACCATTTGCTGATTTGGCTTTTGTTAGTATCTCTTTTGATTCCTTGGTGTGACCCACCATGTAGATTGCATCCTAGGTTCCTCATCATGGGCATCTTTTTGTATTATTTGTGCTTCCTTCTCTTTTGGTTGTTGTTCCTGAGCTTTTTTTGGGTGTTACTTGTCTGCCCCTTCTCACTAATTGAGATAGTCCCTTTCTGCTGCCCCAGCTTGTTCTGTATTTGTTCCTATGGAATTTGTGGATTCTTAAGAGATATCTCCTGCATATTCCCTGCATTGATCACTTTGGTATTTTATTCTCCTTGTTTAGTTGCCTTCTTCTTCCTGCACATTTCCTCTGAGTGGCTATATTTCTTGCAAAATTTACATAGTGTGGGCTTCCAATCATAACTAACCTTCTACTCAACTATGTTTCCTTTTTAATTCCCGAAGTAAACTGTATCTGGTAGTTGTGCATCCAGTTCCATTTAAACTAATAGTCTTGCAAAGTTTAAACCAAGTTTATTCTCTGTATTATGGTCAGCCATTAGAGGTTTCTCAATTAAGCTGCCTATTTTGCTTAAACCTTTCACATAGTAGTATTTGAAATCCAAACCAGGAAATCGTATCCATATAGGGATAATTCTCAACTCTTCCATACTAAATTTCATGTCTGGGCTCTAAGCCTTTACAATAAATGGTTTATTGTCAAAATGATAAATTCCTCCTTGGATCATTTCGTTCTTTTCTTCAGTTGCATCGAACCGTACCAGCACAACTCAATTCTTCATCATAACAATCTTATTTATGCCATTTTTAGCCCATAACCTTTGAATAAATCCTTTAATCACCTAAAATGTGGGATGGGCTCCTAACACATAGCACACAATAGTATGTTTCCAAAATTTAATTCCACTGCTAAAGTCCTCATAGTCAATGTCAACAATAGGGGACTCACCATGTAGATTAGGTGCAATATATTCCAATTTAAATCCAACGTTTGTAATTTTAGAAATGTAAAAGTTATCCCATATCGAACTTTTGTTCGTTGCGATCTCCTCTTCAACTTGATATGCCCAGGATTTTTTCCCGCTACTTGATGTTGTTTGATCTCCTTTGCTAGGCGTCGTAGACGTTATCTATGTCCACTGTTTTATTGCCTCATGTTGTTGGACTTTCTCCATTACTTTATCTCTGCCTTGAACTTCAATTTGTACTGGTTATGCATCCAATTGGTTTAGAGAAGATAATTTCTCCGTTGATTTTGTCCCAATTTGATTAGGTTTACTTGCCGCATTTATCCCCAACTTGCTGCTGCTCAAACTAGGTTCAAGTAATTGAGACCTAATTTGTTCAGATTGCACTTCGATTGCTGGTTCGCCTTTGTTTCTTTGACCTCTCATAGCTGCTGCATGTGAGGCTTGTGCTTCCTTCGCCATTAATGTCTTCTCAATGGGTATGCACGCTCTCTTGCCCATGGCTGGCATAATTTAAGCTAACGTGCACCTAGAGAGAATCAGACTCATCCCACTAAGACTTTCTTCATCAGTGTTAATTGGGAATAAATGAGAATAACCTGATTTACAACTAGTATTTGAAAAATCAGCCACAATTTGAAAAGTAACTGGAATAAAATCACATTTTCATGTAAATATAAAATATGAATAAAAACGCCCTTAAAAATTCTAGCATAATATGCTGGAGTTCCGAAATAATTTGCTGGAAGTTTATACGTAAGAGCTTCATAATCCAGCTGATTATGCTGGAACTTTTTGTGTTTTCAGCTAGAGCATTTTTATTCAGATTTTATTTTCGTGACTATTTTTTACTGACTTTGTAAACACTAGCGAGTTTTCGATTATCGATCTAAAAACTGGCTAGCCCATGCTATTTACACGTGTTAATGGGGTCGACTTGCAAGAGCAAGCAACTAAACGAGTCGGGTATCGATTCGGAAATGCTGAATCAGTGCAATCCCGACTCGCGAATGGCGCGTGTCCTCAAGCACGGAGACCCAAAAAGGGAGGGAACGCCAAAAGCTACCCGGCGGCAAATTTTTCCCATAAATGCATTAAAAACACAGAAACTCTGCATCAAACGATATATTCCTCCCTTCCTTCTACACGCTAATACGCAGTTCTAATTTCGGAACTATGGTTAAACTTTGATGGATAGAATATCTATGGACTTAAGGTGCGCTTAAGATGGACTGGATACTCGGTACCGTTTCAAAAAGCCTAATCTGTGTATTATCGTGATATTGATTGATGTTGCTATTGAGTGTTTCTTATGATTAATGTATGGTTTGCTGTCAAATTGAAGTTGTAACACACACGATATAAACATCAAATCGTTTCAAGAGGAGTACGTGATTAACAGCGTGATTCCGCCGTAGTTTATCTATGTGTTTTTTACTTAAATGTGAAGCTTCATCTGTATGAGTTGTTGATAATTCTGGTGGACGTACATTTGCACATCATATCTCACTATCTGATGTATGTAGTGGCTGAATTGGTCACTGGTTGCATCAATTGCTTTTGATTTGAACTGTGTATATACATGCAAATAATTTAAGAACAATATCTGTGAATTGTGAACATTAACGATTCACTCATTGTAAATAGCTTGAATCTACTGTGATTGTGCAGGTTGAGAAGTGGTCATCATGCATTTTCAATAGCTATTTGGAACGTCAAAATTGTAGAAATCGTATTTCTCAGCTGATGGCAAGGCTGCCCTTTCCAGCAAGTTAAGAGACTTGTTACACTGATACTGTACGTGTGTGTGTATATAAACGAGAGCGAATCCAACGTAAACTCTATGGGTTCAAACCTCTAAGGTTTTTAGTACTGAACCCATAGTATTTTTGAAATTATGGGTTCGTGTCTATTACTTTTCATACTTTTAGTGGAGTTTTTTACACATAAATTTATGTTCCGCGTAAAAAGTACCTAGTAACTCAACACTGCATCCACCCGTGTCTATAAGTTACTATATAGAAGGCTGGTATCATGTATACATGTGTGTACCTGCATTAGCAGGTGCATTCACATGTTTACCTTTGCGTATTATTGCATATGTAGCAGAGAACAGGAAACATTACAACTTTGTTCAGTTCAAGCTATTAATACTAAAAAGTAAAATAATGGGCTCTGTAAGTCCATTATCTTACAGAATTCGATCGAACTAAATGGGAATAAACTGACCCAATAAATTGTTGCTATTTAAAGAAACATCATAACTGTTATTTACAAAAAAAAATTATCATCTCACTTTCGTTTCTACTTTATAAGTTAACAAGATACCTATCTTCTTTCACCATCTGGCTTAGAACTGCATGATATTGAATGCTGTTAGTTTGTTTGGCATGATTACCTGGGTAGCTATATTCGGTGGGCTGCTCCAAGTTCTTCATCCGTTTTTCCTTTAGTCTTGTTTAACTTGCTGGCTGGAAAGTGCAACCGTGCCATCAGCGGTCGAGGTGCTCGTGTCTTATGATCAAATCCCCGCACACAAACAAACCCTGGAAAAATACAATAGATATTTATCAGAAAAGCAAAAATGTTTTGCAGCAGGGTACACCAACTTCTTCCTGTTAGTTTCTGAACTGATTACTACTCTTTGTTCATAGCTAAATTTACCATTTATCCAATGCTGTGGAAGGCAATCATGAAACAGGTCCTAGGTCTTCTGATACTTCTATATCATTTAAAATTTTGACTATAATATGTTTTTTTTTTTAACATGGTATGTTAAATTTTAAACAGACTAGAATGTGATCCATTTTATCTATTTGTTTTACAGTATGTCATCCCGACATAAAGCTAGTTTAAAACACATGTCTTTACAAACCCTGCTAAAACTGAAGGATTTCCATCTACATACCTCTCCAAAAGCAGTGTTGTATACTTTCTGTGGTTAGTCCTGATGAACACGAGAGATTTCAATGTTAATTTTACTCCCAAAACTTTGTAAATGAGGTTTCATCAGTTTAGTGGTTTTTTCACCTTTGAATATCGTCGGTATTGAGGTTCCAAAGTAGACAGTCCGCCGTGGGAGATTCCACAGCCAATCCCTTGGGACATTAATTGGGCTGAGGCTGGAATCATGGTCTGCGAACACCTGCAAAATAATTTGTTCACTGAAAACCTCAATATTTGACATAGAAGCTGTCTTTGACGTGTGAAACCTGTAGATGAGCTAAAAGTTGGTTATATTCACCTCATTGACCTGAAAATAGGTACCATTGAGTGGAAAGCTTCCTCTCATAGCTGTTCGACATGGTATCTATTAACAAGAATAACAATTAACACAAACTGAGCGTATCTCTTTAGTCATTTACTCGTATAAAATGACCACTGTTATAGTCTATGGGTTTTCTTACCAGAAGAGTCCCTCTTACTGTCTGAGAATGTGCTTCACGTATGCTGTTGCATGAGGAACATGTCTCATTTTCACATAGTTTGCCAGATTCTTGAGAGTTGCACTGTGTTTCTGGAGGTTGAAAAGAATTTGCTGTTTCACCTGATATGAATTTGATACAAGCGGTAAATCAGTTAGTGCTGAAAGGGGAATATGAAAGTTAACTGATTTTACCTACAAATCAGACTAACCCGTGAGATTTGTACCCTAGAGTTACCAAAGTGATGGGCTATGTCAATAGTTCCCTAAGCATGACTAAGCTAATTCATCTATTTTCCACATTACAAGAATATTGTGACAGGATGCCAAAAATCTCTTTCATATATAGCATTACAGTTCTTGTTATCCTACCCGGTGTCCAAATAGCAAGAAGATAGGAGCAAGGATCATCTGGTTCTCTTTTGTCCAACTGCAAAATGAAAAATGTAATTATTTGGAGGATTAATTTCTATATCTGCTTGGCTGCTGGTTACATGTTGGACATAAAACTACTGTGGAATCACTTACCCCTTCCAAAAGTGGATGAGAATCTGGAAGTTCATATCTGTAGGAGGAAAAACAATTGAGTGAGTACAAGAAGTTCTTCAAACATTGTATTACCTTGAAAAGAACAGTCTATTCTTGTCTGTTGAGTCAGTGCTTTTTTTGGCAGCATAATTCTATTGTTATGATGTAGGATCAGGATTATTTACTTACACTTGATGTTCAGTTCTCAGCCGGCTGACATTCTTAAGTTTAGGCACCGGAATTGATGCAGCTTCTGAAGTTAAGGCTACTAAGGCATTCGATATTTCTACCTGATGAAGCTCCATATTGTTTTTGACATACTTCTTTAAGTTTTGAGTGAACTCTGCCATATTCAATTCAATTGTAGGAATTTCACAAGGATCTTCATAGTAAGTGTCCTCTATGTCAATTTCTGGTGCTTGTATTTGCTCTTGCTCAGGTGTGGCAGGAAGTTCAACAATGGGCTCTGGTGTTGCTGGCACTTCAATAATAGGAGCTGAGTTGATCAACTTCTGATGCTCCACTGGTTGTTGATTACCCGGAGGTAATGGCAGAGGCAGGTGAGTGAAGTTTTCCCTTGGATTGTTGTTAGAGGCTTTGTTTTCTGTTGCAGACACAATGCTTTTTTCTTCCGGCGCGGGAAGTGCAAGCCTCGCACTGAATGGTGCATTATCATTAGATCAAGTTTATGAAATAAATGTACTTCATCAAAGAAATACAATGTTTCTGAATCTTTAAACAGATAAAATAGCCATTCAAGTCTTATAGTCTCAGTTAATGTGCTTGCAGTATGGATATGACCAACAAGAGAGTTCTATTAGGCATTAGCTATCTTAGAAATAAGTACATCTAAAAATTTTAGCATGAAATTGCTTCGTCAGTGACTTGAGTTTTCTTATCCAGAATGCCTCATGGTTGTATTTTATATATTGGTGGGTTAGCTTGAAACAGGCTAGTGGTTCACTGACATATAGTAGATTTTGCATACCTAAAACATAGTGGAACTATGATCCTTTAGGTTTGAGTGGAATAGTTTATGTACTAGAAACAAGATAGTTGGACACACAAGACAGAAGTATTTTAGCTGCAGAAACAGTAATAAGCTAACCTTGCAAAGGCACTTGCAAAGTGTCTGCATTCTCCTCTCAGTGGACATGCGTTGCAATTGGGTTTGCTTTTTGTACAGAAGACCTATATGAGTTGCAAGAGTGGCTTTAGCCTTTGATTGCAAAGATCTACTAGTTTTAGGAGATTTCATCTAATAGCATTGACATACCTTTCCGAAGGTGATCATATGGTAATGTAGCTCATATCTGTAATTAAGATCTTAAATAAATGATCTGTTACTTGTTGGAAGAAAACAAAAATAGTTTCTAAACTATCTAACTATAAGTGCACATGCATTGTTCATAAGTCCCTCTGACCAAACTCTGAATCAACCATGCTACTATTTTCTTCACTTTATTAAAATAGACAAATACTTGTATCATTTGATTTCACCAGAAGATTGACATTGGAATACTTACATTTAGTTACAACTTAGGGCTCGATATCTGTGAGTGGTCAAATTATGACACTACAATTGCGAAGGACACTCATACATATATGTCTGTGGATGCTACTTACAATGTTCTTTGATCAAGCTTGCAGAGACGTGGCCATAGGTACTTTTGGATTGACTCCAGTATTGGGTACCTGTAGGAATACGACAGAGTTAGCCTTGCACCATGTATGCAATTAGAGATATTTTAGAGTCAGGAATACTCACAGCTCAAGAAGATGCAATTGTAGTGACTCAGGCAACGGCTGCAGGGGCACCCACCCTAGCCTAACAGCAATACGCCCTACATTTGTGTCAACCTTTTTGCAGATACACAGTCATTAGTGTGATTGAACTATTTCTCATATATTAACTCTTCCAAAATTGGTTCTAGATCTTACTGGGAAAGCTAGGTGGTGAAGTGTTAAAAGTCTCACACACTCCACGCTCTTCAGACCCAAGCCCCTTATGCTCAATAGATACTCTCTGAAACCATACATTTGAAGTGTGTTAAAGTTTGTAGATGACTACTATTTTAAAGGTGGGAGATTATTTGGAACAATTGCTAGCTTACTTTGCTTTGTCTGGTGGAACATCTCTCAGCCATTCAAGATCAATGCTTCCATGTTCACTAACAATCCGGTTAAGAAAATTCTGCAATAGCAAGTTTAATATCATTGAGCAATCACTTGGGATTCCAGGCCAAATAATTACTGTATATGTATATGTTCTCTTGTCCTCAGATATTGCAAAAAGGAAATACACATGTATGTACCTTGATCCTCTCTGCCAGCTTGTTGTTCATTCCTCGTTCTCTAATTGTGTGGGCTATCTCATTGACATTTGCGCACCTCACTGCTTCCCAGTCCAGTGAATCCAATGTGTTCGCTGTCTTTTCTCTTTTCTTGCCGTTGGCCTGGGCCTCTAACCGTAAGCTGTCCCAATCAATGTTCTCTTTCTCCTTCCCGAGCTGTCCTTTTTTTGCTTTAGAAGGATTGTCATTTACACTGTCTACTTTGCTACAAGCATGATCACTGACATTTTTCAAGTTTGACTCCACAGCTCTTCGCTCAGACTTACATGAATCAACAACTATGCTGGCCCTTTCTGTGACTTCTATATTGGTTTCTGAAGAGGTTGGTGCTTCTGGAACTTGGGGTACATTGCAATTTCTATCTTCAGTTTGAAATTGTAGTTCGACATTGACTTCTGCATTATTAACTGTCTCTATGTCCAACTTATTTTGAGGGTTATTGCATGAGATATAAGTTTCACTCCTCAGTGTTGTGTACAGTTCTGGATGTGCACATTCTACCAATGATCCACTTTGTTCGAGGGCACTACCTTCCTTGCGAAGGACTGGGAAGTTTCCACATTCGTGTAAGTATTCAGTGCACGTGGTTCCTCGTGCTCCTGAAGTTCCTGCCATCTGTAATAGCTTC